GGGATATAGTACGGGTATTGGTGGGTGTAAGAGGTTGTGTCCCGTGGCCAACGGTACATAGCTTGGTTACACTATTTTCCCTGTCTGTGTTGGTTAAAAACCGGCCGTTACATTGGATTCTAGTCAGGTCACAGACTTATTATCCTGAGCACATATTTGCTTATTAGAGCGGGAAGACTCATTGCTCTCTTGTCGTGGATTTCGGCTCTTTTTCGGACCGACTGATTGGAGACAGGAATAGTGGAGGTTTAAGCACCACACTGAGTCTGGGACTCAGGTGTGGGGGCTTGGAGTCCAAGTTTGTACGGGGACCTGGACCCTTTGATAGGAGAGTGGTGGGTTGGTCCTGCTTGTGCCTAGGGTATAAGCGGGGCATGTGTTTCGGGGTACCCAGCTGGGCTACATTGATTCGCTAATCGTCGTGTAATACGGTACGACTTGTCTTCATTCTAGCATCGTAGTAAGAACTGGAACATGAAAGATGAAGAAATGGACTTGATTGCTCAACTCTTGCTTAAAAGTAGAACATGTGCTTACATAGAATGGTTAGATAATGAACTAATCATGACTGCTAATAAGAAACATACATAAGGATGCACTGCTAGTAAGGCTTTTCGTAAAAAGAAAACCCAGCAAACCATAAAGCCTATCATATCCTTTGGAGTCAAAAAAAATATTCCTACTAATCGAGTAAGTCTTGCGAGTACATTGTATACTCAGGTTTTATTTACCCCTATTGTAGGTGCAGCTTGAGGAATGACTGTTGTGTGGAGGATTCTTCTGTGGGCACGGACGGATCCTTGTGTCTTTTCGTTAGATGTTTATTGTAATTCCGTTGTTTAAATTCCGTACTCTGAACTTGGTATTGTAATAATGTATTTTCGAGAACTCTGGTCGTATGAAATGGACTAAGTAATGTAAACTCGTTCTCATTATTGGATCTTGGAGGGAAAACGTGGATTGTTCGAGTTCTCCCTTGGGATGTGCTCGACGGAACCGTCCGATGTTACCAGCTTTCGGAGTGCTTAGTGTCTGGTGGAAGACGAGCGCCTTCGGAAGTGTGCTATTTCGGACGGTTCTGCTACACAATATTCTGAAATAACTGTAGACCATGATCTAGATAACATGTGATCATTGTTATGTAATCATTGTTATGTGATGATTTCCCTTCGGTCTACAAAACATGTGGTGCGACATGTGCTATCCCTTGATGAAAAAACATGCCCCAAATCAGTGATTTTACTTTGGAAGTGGTGAGATGTCAGGAATAAGGTTAATGCAGGAGAACAAAAGTTGCCTTACAATGCAGTCATGCATAGTGTCAATTCTTTGATGGTGAGATCAAGACCGGGACAACACAGAAACAAAGAGAAAAGTCCATTAGAAACTGCAGATAGAAACCTCCTAACCTTCTAAGGACCAATGTGGACGGTGTGTTTGTTTCAGCAGAGAAGACAGCATGAGTGAGATTAAATATCAGAAATCAGGTTAGAGAAGAAAACTTTGATTTTGGCTATTGTACATATATACCCAGTTTGCTAAGAGAAAAATTTGTACATGTGGAGCTGCTCTATACTCCCAGGTCTAGTAACTCATCTACGCACAAGCTGGCCCATTTAGGCCTTAGTTGGAACCTGGATCAACTTATTGTAAATGTTCAGGTGGCTTAGGATTTAGTTGGGCCACTGGTTAATTAAAAGGCTAACTGACTGTTAAATTTAAAAAATGAACCATATCAATCAAACAGATATAAAAATACTAATGTTTTCAGATATTTTCACAAGGGGGCTCACATAAGAAACATGTGAAAAATATTATTTCCACATGTGGATCCTTACATGAACCGCCTATGGAAATTGTTTCTGACAAGGTTTGAAGTAAAGATGATCCTATTGGTAACAACTCTATACTAGGATGGTAACAAAGGATCGCGTGAGGGGAAGGGTTCTGGGTTTGATTTGTAGGAAATGCTCAAGCTTTTGTTTCGTGCAAAAACACGAGACTTATGACTTCTGACTGTGGGGCTAACTAAGCAGTCGGCCGAGTGCAGAAGTTGTATATTGTTTTCCATTACGGATTTTGGATTGTATGCCTATGGACTACAAGAAATTCTACGAGACGTGTCTCTTTATTTGAATTGCGTGAGCGCTTGGCGCTTGGTGCTTCTTGAAAATAATGTACAGTACTTTTATTTCTTAGTAAGTAAGAGAATTCATATTGTTGTCTTAGGACAAGTACAATGTCGCCGGCAGATTCTGCAATTTTTTGCCACCATGTACATTTGGACAGGCGCTTGGCACAAGCGTTGCTGGTCACACAAGCAGCCGCCTCTAGGAGATTTTGTAGTTTGAAAAGTAGTGGTTTTAAGGATTGATATGTAGATCAGCACGTAAGGTTAGCTTTTCTCCATTGTAGGTTAAGACTCTTATGCATGCAATTGTTTGATTATTGTCTTCCCTTAAGACTTAAGAGCCCTTTCAAATGTTCATGGGTTGTGCCAGCACAGAACTAATAGTGAAAGATACATTCTAAGTATTGTAAAACTAAGCAATATATAACTGTAGTAGTACAATACACCTATTTTAGTTAGCTTTAATTTCTACGAGCAAACCACGCTAAGACGGCGCAGTTTACATACACGTACCAATACGACTAATTATCTGTTGTTCCTGCGCGTGTCATACCGTGTGGACAAGAGATATGCGTAGAGGACCTGATTCCAAACGTCCGGCACGCCGGGGAGGCACCAGTGGCTGCAATCCTCCGGCGCGTCCGGCGGCGTTCCGGGCTCCCTGTGCCCTGACGGGTGGCCATCTGGTCTGAGCTCCGTCATGTGAGTGATATTCAAAAACGTAGCCTTCCTCCCGTGGCTCTTGATGCCATCTGTCATCTTGGCAATCATCGCGTTCATCCATGAGTACTCTTCACCGGAGTGGGCGTTAGTGGTCAGTAGTGGTTCTCGGTGGCCGGCGCACGAACCACCAGTGTCCCAGGTGCCATTGCTGCCATTTTTCAGGTGCAGAAAAACCATGGTTACGACTGGAAAGTTTAGCCCTGCAATTACCTATGTGAACAACTTAGGAAGAAAAATAAAGTTCAGTAGGTTTAAATAGATTGTTGGTAGAGCATTATAGTCATGCAGATTTCCTCAAATAGTCGCAATTGCTAGATCAAATATATTGTCATATCATAAGCCACACTTCTCTTTATCACAATGCAATTAACACCACTTAGCTTAACTTACCTGTAATGCGAGGGAGAATAACTCCCGAAGAAGAAATAGTTTTTCGAAAATCGAGCACTACTTAGTTCCCAATCTTTCACCGTTTCCAGAGACCGTCGAAAAGCGTCCTTGATGCGCATGGTTTTGTCCAAGTGGTCGCCAACCATAAAATAGTTTCCTCTGCTCATGAGCCACACACGCACAATAACCTCAAATTAGTGTCTTAATTACCCACTGAGTACAAAATAACCATGGCATGCATACGTACGCCTTGACGGTTTTGTGCTGGTTCCACCAGTGGCCGGTGTTAAGCACGAGCACGTCGGCACCGGCCCACCGGTCGGCGTGCCGTGGCAACACGTCCAGGCGGACGGCTCCCCTCACGCCGCTGCCTGTCTCGTTTGCCGCCGGGAAGCGGTGGACCATCACGATCATGGGCGCGCGGTAGTACTCCACGGAGAGGTTGTAGTCGGCGAAAACCATGGCGAGGTAGCCCTTGTGCCGGCTGATCGGCTTCCCGGACCGCTCGTACACTCTGGACGACGACGCGCTGGCCGTGGGCGGCACGGCGGCGGCGAGCATGCACACCATGGACTCCCACTGGTTCCGGCCGATCGAGTCCCCGGCGAAGACGATCCTGCCGTTCCGGCTCCGCTCCAGCATGTCCGTCGCGTTGAACCTAATAAACAACTTAAACCATTGACATCAGGTCACGATTCGGACATCCAGGAAGAAGATGAAGATGTCGTGACATGGCGGGGGCTACCTACTTAGGGAGGTCGCAGCGGCGAGGTCGCCAGCGCCAGTGCCGGAAGGACGAGTCCCTGCGGCCGTTCCGCGTGCACCGGAAGCCGGGGTCGAGGAACGGGCAGTCCTCCGTGTACGTCGCCACGTCGGCAGCATCGTCCCTCACCCATCGTCCGTCTGAATAGTCGCATGGGTGGCCGTCGGCGCTGTCGCCGTGCTCTCTTCTGTTGACCGGAGGCAACCAAGACGACTGGAAGAACGACGTCGACCTTGGCCACCGAGGCGGGGGTAGGACGACGGTACAGAGCGCGACGACGAAGAGGAAGACGGAGGGGACGAGTACGTGTCTCGCATGCATGGGTCAAGACGCGAGCTGTCACTGTTGGCTAACATTGGTTGCTGGTTTTTCGGTTATTCGGAGGGTATGTAGTGTGGTGAGGACAGCAGCAAGACGTGAACGAGCCACTGGTGGTAAATAGTAATGCCAAGAGTACAAGTGTCGGAGCGATTTGTGGGTCGAGTTGGACTGCATCAAAGAGAAACCATCAATACCTAAAATGGTCATGATCAGCACCAGTTTTAACTTTTAACCAAGACGACAAGGTTTGTAATTAATTTAATTAAGGTTGTTTTAAGGCTAGTCTCAGTAGAGATTTCGTAGAGTTTTATGAGCATTAAATATGCTGACATGACATTATATTTACGAAAAGAGATGACGAAAGATTTATAGGAGCACAGAGAATTTCATGGTGATGAAACTCTTCTACACTGTTTCCAACGTATGAGAGTGTTAGATACTGGGACATAAAACTCACACTGAGACTGATCTAAAGGTTATCGCTATGGTTTGTTTCCTCGCCTCCAAGTTGGCTACTTGTTTTAATTTGTTTAGGAATATGGTCCTATATAATCATGCATACTGGTTATAGTTGTAGCATCAGAATGATATAGAACCAATTTATTTATCCAATAAAAAAAAGAATTAATTTATTTATCAGAATTGAACATATATAGTCTCTTTAGCTTTCTATTATGTCTTTAGGAGTGCGGCGTCACTCTCGCTTAAGCTACCACTGTCCGTTACAGGTTCACGTCCAGCAGGAGTGTCAGCAGCCTGCTCGCCCTTGTACTGGTAGAAGTGTGAGCACACGAGGAAGTAGACGAAGTTGGCTCCAGTGAGCACCGCCATGGCGTAGTAGAAGTAGTCGATCCTCCCGGCGTTGATGTCGTCGGTGACCCAGCCCGCAGACCCACCGTGTTGCCTCGTCCTCGCGTTCACGATGCTTACCACGAGCGTGGCCAGGTAGCTGCTGACGCCCTGCGCGCAGTAGAAGGCCGCGTTGGCGAGAGTGCGCATCTGGTCTGGGAACTGCGTGTTGTAGAACTCCGTCTGTCCCACCATGCTGAACCCACCCGACACGCCCATCACGGCAAGCTGCGGCGCCAGGAGGAACACGGACAGCGGGGACATGCCGTCGCCGTGTGCCAGCGCGGAGTGCCTCCGCCTCCGCTCCACGGCGGCCGCGACCACGAACGCCAGCGCGCCGACCACCAGCCCGGCGCCCTGCCTCTGGAGCAAGGTGATGCCGCGTCCTGCCTTGGTGACCCGCTGCGCGGCGCGGGCGATGAGCAGGTCGTAGACGGGCACAAATAGCGCGACGGAGAGGTAGAGCACAGCGACGATCGACGCCGGCGGGATGGTGAAGTGCTTCCCCATGTGGAGGTCCATGGTTGACGCCTGGAGGAACGTGTAGTTTATCAGCTCCGTCACGACGGTGAACCACATGGTGCCGGAGATCCACACGGGGATGATCTTCAGGAGGCACTTGGCCTCCTCCACCTGCTGCACGCTGCACAGGTTCCACGCCCTCGCCGGGGAGCTGTCGGGCCGTATCTCCTCGGTGGCGTCGGTCACGATGGCCGCCTTGTTTAGAAAGCTGAGCTGCAGAGTAAGGGGGAGCTTGAACACGCGGCGCCCGTTCCCGACGGCGGCCGGAGGGTTGTACAGGAGCTCCTCCTGCCGCCGGGCGTCCTCGGGGTGCGGCAGCGGGAGCCTCCACTTGAGGCACGACGCGACGAACACCCGCGCGACGCTCGAGAAGATGCTGCCCTCGGGCGGCACGTAGACGTACACCTTGGTGCCTACGAGGAACACCACGAAGGCGACGGCCATGAGCGCCGTGGGGATGGCGAAGCCGAGGCCCCAGCTCACGTTGACCTGGACGTACAGCACGACGGTGAGCGCCAGGAACGTGGCTATCATGGCGACGGCGTAGTACCAGTTGTAGAAGCGCGCGAGCCCTCCCTTGTGCTGCTCTTTCCTCTCGTCGAACTGGTCCGCGCCGAAGGGCAGGCTAGTCGGGTTCATGCCGCCGGCGGACACCACGAGCAGCCCCATGCCGAGGTAGAGCACGGCTCGCTGCAGCGTCGACGGGGCGACACACGTCCCGGCTTGCTGTGCCATCGGGCTGCACGTTGGAGGTTTAAGCTCATGGACAGTCGCCGATAGAGTGATAACCGCCATTGCCTGTATGGCACCACAAACAAACACATCAGCCATGCATGCGTCACATGCATTTGATCGATCGACGATCGTTCTCTAGTCCAAAACAATAGTAATGTCCTTTAATTTCAGCTAGATGTTTTCCACTGGTGGTTTGCAAATGTCGCCTTGTTGTTTGGGGACAACTAACATTTTGCTGAAGAGAAAACATGTGACGTGATCAGAAGGCAAAAACTTACCGCAACTCCGACCACGGTTCCAAACAGCAGGGTTCTGAACCTGCCCCAGAACGCGTCGGCGACGAAGGCTCCGACGACGGGCGCGAAGTTGAACGTGCCGGAGAAGATGTTGTTCACGTTCGTGGCGGCGTTCTGCTTCATGTTGTAACGGCCGATGAGGTAGCTGGTGAGGGAGAAGGAGAAGGCGTTGCCCGCGATATAAGCTGCCGCGTAGACCCCTGCATCCCATGCCACGCCAAGCGCACGCGCACACACTCACACATTAATCCCGTTGCCATTGCTGAAGCACCGAAGCTGAAGACATATGCGTGGATGAACAGCTAGCGACGGACCGATGATGAAGGCGACGGCTCGCCACCCTCTGGGCCTCCTCCGTGTCGCCTCTGCTCCTCCTCTGCCACCGCCCGCAGCCTCCTGCTCCGGCTGCGGTCCACGGCGCGAGGCCATGGATGCTGCTTCCGGCCTTCCGCCTTCGCACATGTTCACCCAGAACGCAATGCCAGATGATGGGATCGATCGCCTGGTCGATGGAGCAGAAGAAGGTTACGGTTCTCTCCGAAGCTCGATCAAACAAAGCAGGTCCCGTGTTGTGTTGTGCTTCTGCTGCAGTGGATTGCATGCGGGCCTGCAGCTGCGCATCCGTATTTGTACTGGCGCCGGTTGAGAAAGGTATGCAGGTAACTACTGTGCTTCCTGCTGGTTTCTGGATCGCGTGGGTTGTTGGGACTTGGGAGGAAGCACTCTGATTGTTGGAAGCAATGCAACTCAACGGAATAAAACCAGACCAGGGAGCAGGTCAGGAAGGAGTCGCTTAGGAATAAGAAATGGAACGCACACTGCTGCTTCTTCGTCAGTTCGTATCTACTCTCGCGTAGCCGCCGTTTCAGTTATCTCGTGCAGGTGGCATCGTGTAGTCTAAACTAACTACTGATCGGGGGCGCAGAAGCTGAAGCTCATCTCAGAGGCGAGAGGTGTGAATGTGAACTATATTCCCTATGGGTCAAAAATGTGTAATTTTAAAATGAGTTTTGTTATGGTACACTAAATGACCGTGAGACGTTCATTTCTTTTTTCAGACGGTTACGATCGCGTATTATCTCACAGGAGGTAATATGTGAAATATTTATTTATTTTGTAAACTAGGATAAATAAGGAAAGTTTGAGATATAACAAATATTTTTTTCTAGATTTGATTGATGCATGCATGGTTTGACAAATATGGTAAATCTTTTTTTTATTTTGCAACTTCCGACTTGATATATTTATGATATATCATATAATTTTGTATATGACTTGATACACTTGATTTACACACAATGTGATTCTGTACGTGATTATGGCCCCGTTTGGTAGAGCTCATACTAGCTCCAGCTTCTATTCACAGGAGCTTTTTTCTCTCTCTCCTCTCTCCTTCTCTTACAGAGCTGGTGAAGCTAGGTGAAGAAAAAAAAACTGGCTCCACCGGCTCTACGAGAGAGGAGAGAGAAAAAAGAGCTCCGATGAGTGCATGCGTCATAAAAGCTTGAGCCGACGAGAGCTCTACCAAATGGGCCTATGTGTTGATGTATTGCCATGCCTTATTACATGGTACAGACTTTTAGGTCTACCGTGTTGCCGTATTGCTAAAGGTGATTTTGAACGTGATTACTGGTGCATGTTAGCGTGTTGCTGTGCAAAACGTGTTAGCATGTACGGATGTCTGTACATGCTCTCTAAGATACCACACAAATGTATTCTATTATATATTTATCCTTAAAAAACAAGGATTCAGATTTGTTTAAGGTAACCTCCTGGTAAGAGTACCGTAGCATTGTCCAACTTTTTAAATACTGGCTCAAACCATTTAAAATCTAACCAGATCAATATATTTTTCTAGTGAACCGATAGAGCATACTTCATCTGTCACTGAATAAATAGATTCCTAGAGTTGTCTTAATTAAGTCAAACTTTTTAAACTTTGACCGGATTTTTAGAAAAAAAACATAAAGATTTATGGTATCAAATTAATATCATTAGATTTATCATATAATATATTTTTATAAGGTGCTCATTTTATGATATAGATGTTGTTACACTTTTCTATAAAATTAGTCAAACTTAAAAAAGTTCGACTGGCACGGATTCTAGGAATTGATTTATTTGGGGACGTAGGGAGTATCTCAACTGGTTAATGCTTGTCTCAGGAAAAAAGCTCAACTGGTTAATTAGATTGCTTGTGGTGTAACTTGTCTATAGCTGGTTCTAGATCAATTCTCAACTTGGATGTTCGTATTTTTCTAATTTATTTAAGAATTTAATGATGTTACTTTTTTAGGTAATATGTCAGTCGAGAGGGAAAAAAGAATTATATCTTCTTCTTTTTTGCGACAAAGAGCTTCTATTGATTATATAGCATCAGGATTACAATCTTCAGTCAGCAGATGAATAATACAGGCCGGGGCTGATTGCCACTCACCCATCCTGACATCCAATTATCATCTGAGACTTGCTTAGCCAAGACATGAGCTACTTGATTACAAGAACTATTGGTGTATACTAGAGAAAAATTAAGAAAGACAGCACTAAGCTCCCTAATATCACTCAAAATCTGTGAAATGCATGCTCCCTGGAAGTTCATCGTCTCCCACAAAATTATATCTTTTTTAGATAAGGTAGTATGCAACTGCAACCAGGTGGGTACTGCTAGCTGAGCATAAATAAAATACTTCCTTGGGTGAAACTGTGAAAGCTGTTGGGGCGCGTAGAACAAGTCACCCCTGAGAAACCCATCCAGATTGGGCTTCAGATAGAATATATATTAGACTATGGCCTTGTTTAGTTGGCGAATTTTTTTAGGAAATGATATTGTAGCATTTTTATTGTTATTTGATAATTAGTGTCTAATCATAGTCTAATTAGGCTTAAAAGATTCGTCTCGTGAATTTCGTCTAAACTGTGTAATTAGTTTTATTTTTTATTTATATTTAATGCTTCATGCATGTGTCCAAAGATTCGATGTGATGAAGAATCTTGAAAATTTTTACAAAATTTTAGGAACTAAACAGGCACGAGGTAAGGTTCGGTTATACAATCATATATGTTCCGGATATACCGAGGTCACTATGTGCTTGTACTTTAGTACTTCTTTGTTTGTGATGTTTCGTCTTGTAAAAGATTCTGACGACCGAATCCAGAGCTTTTGGCTTTGATTTGACCTTAACGAACGTCAGAACGTGCTCAATATCTTCAAACCTGGGCAGCCACGAGGAACTACCACAGGTATAGCCTTCACTCGATTCCTTCTGAGCCTCGCTCGGTGCAACGCCGTTGGGTTGCGCAGTCGTCGCGCGCGGACGAGGTCTTCCCTTCGTCACCATGATCGACGCTTTTGGCCCCCGGCCCGTTTGCGTTGTGTCACAAGTATTACGTGAGAGCTGACGATGCGCGGGTGCAGACGTGGTGCGCGATCGAGGCAAGTACTACCAGCTCCGTCCTGAGGCCAGCCCCAGCCCCAGCCCCCACGCGCGCCGCCATGCATGTGTCGTGGTGCTCCGGCGTCCACATCTACAATCTACATGCATCATGCAGTTGTCATGTCACATGGAGCAGTAGCTTCATAGCGGGTCAAAGTGATTTGCAAAACCCGCGTAGTCTTATTTAACAGTTTTCACAAAAACAAACCGTATAACATAGAGAACACATATTTTCTATTTTTACATATTTTTAACTATTTAAAACTATTTAATAAGCATAAACCTGAATAAATCTATAACTCAGTCATACATGATCCAATGAGCATGTAATTTTTACTTCATCTCAAATATACAATGATTAGTCCATCATAAAAATTTTACCACAATAGGACCACAAAAACTACAACTATGAATTAATCATAGTAAAGCGTAGATCTGAAGCTAGAGCTAAAATTTTATACTAAAGCATATCATATCATATGTTTACTATGTATATCTACTCATGTGGAGTCCAAACAAAATTAGATTTTCTATTTTATGATTTTTTTGTAATTTACTATGATTTTTTAAAGATTTAGTCAAAAATAAATATAAAGAAAAAGAGAAAAAACACATAGAGAAACAGCTAGGAGTCATATGTCCGATTTGAAAAGATGAGAGAAGAGTTATGTCCGGTTTTCTAGTTCATGAAGAAAAACTGACTTTTTCGATAGTCGACATGAAAGCAGACTTTTTCCTCAAAATCAACTCACAGACGGAACACCACACGTCCCAAGTTCCCAACAGCCCATCCAAGGCACTATCTCATGACCGGCAGTTCCGGGGGCCTAGTCCCACACGCATCTGCCTCTCCTCTAAGGCTCTAACCCAACCCTGAAAAGAAGCCCAGTCCATCCTCCACAAACCGGCCAGCCTGACCACAAGCCCACGGGGCCACGACACCAGACCTCGACATGTCGCAGTCGCAGGCCGAGCGATCGCGCGCGGACGCCGCGCGCCGCCCGGACGCGCCTCTCCACCTCGTCTTCGTGCCATTCCTCGCGCGCAGCCACTTCGCCCCGCTCGCGGCCAAGGCGGCCTCCTCCGCAGCCGCCCGCGCAGAGCACGAGGTCGCCACCACCACGGCCGCCATCGTAACGACGGCACACTTCGCGGCACTCGCGCCGCCGTCCGTGCCGGTCCACGCTGCGCCGCTCCGCTGCCCGGGCGGGCACGAGGACTTCTCCCTCCTCCCGGACGAGGCCTCCGCCGCGCCGGCCTTCTTTGCTGCCGCCGAGGCCGCGCTGGCGCCGGTGCTCGCCGCCGCCATCCGCGCCCACGACGGTGGCGGGCCCGTGGCCGTCGTCTCGGACGCCGTGCTCTACTGGGCGCCGCGCGTCGCAAGAGGCTGCGGCGTGCCGCACGTCACGTTCCACACTATCGGCGCCTTCGCCGCGGCGGCCATGGTCGCGCTCCATCTCTACCGCCCCGGGGTGGTGCTCACGGACCCGTTCGCGGTCCCCGGCGGCTTCCCGCACCCCGTGATGGTCAACAGGACGCAGGTCAACGAGGAGGCGCTGGCGCACCTCCCTCTCTTCCGTGCCGCGGAGGCCCAGAGCTGCGCCGTCGTGTTTAACAGCGTCTCCGCGCTCGAGGCCGACTTCGCCGCGTACTACCAGAGCCAGCTCGCCGGGACGCCCAAGAAAGTGTTCCTCGTCGGCCCCACGCGCGCCGCGGTATCTCCACCACCTCCACGCGCCGTCACGGAGCGGGACCCGATTCTGCAGTGGCTCGACGGCCGGGACGCGGGATCGGTGGTGTACGTGTGCTTCGGGAGCACGTGCGCGCTGGGCGAGAGCCAGCTCCGCGAGCTGGCCGCCGGGCTGCGCGCGTCGGGCCGGCCGTTCGTCTGGGCGATCCCGACGCCGCCCCGCTGGGATGGCACTGGCGGCTGCACGGAGCGGGAGGAGCGCGCGTCCAGCCACGGCATGGTGGTGGCCGGGCGGTGGGCGCCGC